AACTTCCTCTTATGCCAGGATGTTGATGAGAAGGGACTGTCCCAACTTAGGCCCAGGTGTAATAAATCAACCTCAATGTCTAACTTGACCAAGTTCCTTATAATGTTACCTAACATGACATAAATATTTTGGTTTTTGCTTCACCCTTTCCACCTGCTATGGGTTTCGCTTGGGCACTCATGGGTAATAACTAAGATGGAGTCATTGTAGTCAATGCCAGGCATGCTCAGATGTAACACTGTTATAGGGGAACTTTACCCCTCCCATTTGGGCAGAACCCACAGAAGTGTTCCTTGTTCTTGCCACATAAAAGACCCAGAACTCAGCCCCATTTCTGGCAACCTGCTTTCATGTCCCCTCTTGCTGGTGAGAGGTTTCCTTTTGCTTAATAAATCCTACTCTGCTTTACTCACTTTCTGGTGTCTGTATGTCTTATTCTTTCTGGTCATGGGAAGAGAGCCCAGGCCCGGCTGAACTGAGGAGACCACCACACTGGCACCAGACAGCAACTGGGAGACAGTGATCTTCACGTGGACACTCTCAGCTTGCAGCCCAGGCTGTCTTTGGGGGCACTGTCCCACCCATCGTTGAGCCTGAGGAGAAAAGTTGGTAGAGAGGCTGTTCCCTCACTTGCAGCAGAAGAGAGGTGTTCAGTCCCCTTGCTTCCTTGAAGTCAGAGCCGTCATGGCTGCACTCAATGTGGCAGCCACCTGCCATATGTAGGTACTGGGTACCTGGAATGTGGCTGATTTTAAGGAAAATGTGCTGCAAACATAAAATACACAGTGAGTTTAGACGAATGAGATCAGAAATATACTTTATTTCTAATTGTATATTGATCACATATTAAAACAATATTTTGTATACAATAGGTTAAAATTATCATAAACAATTTCACTTGTTTCTTTTTATTATTTTTGATGTGGCTAATAATAAATGGAAAATTCACAAATAGCTAACATTTTATTTTTTAAAGGATTGCTTCCCTCTTAAAATCTCAGGTGTCCTACTCAAAAGACCAAAGGACAGAGAGGTTATGAAATCTAAAATATAATTGCCATTATATTGTTTCCATTTGTGAACAAGTGTGTGGCGCGCGCGTGCCTGTACAATTTATAAATGGACGTAACATTACACACCAGAAGGTTAAAAATGAACCCCCAACAGAGCCAAGCCTAGCCGCAGAGAGAAAGCCCTGACTGAAAATACATGGAGGCAAGAGTCTGTCACTCTTGCCTCATTAAGTGCACTGTTTGGTGGCAAGTTATGTCACTCAAATTCTGAGGGTGTGGAGCTTGGTGTCCTATCCAATCAGAGCGCTGGACTGAGAAGTGCCCAATCAGGCGCGCAGCGGGAGAGGAGGGGGCGGCATCCGGGATTAGGCGCGGCTTTTGCTTCTCGCTCCAGCTTGAGGTCGGTTAGGACCTCACCGTCCGACTTCCACCAGTCAGGGAGGCCTAGGTGATTCGGGCATAGCTTCAGCCTCCGTCGCTCTGTGACTTGCGCTTATTGGATGATTCGTAGCTGAGACTCCGTGACACCCCTGAAGTGGGGAAATGGTGAGTGTGCGGGGCAGGGCGTCCCAAGGCTGGGGAGGCCTCATCGGAACCGGCGGGAAATGGCGGCGGCGGGACCGAGTCTGTGAGTGGAGTTCCCGCTCAGCCCTCGGTCCTCAGTCCCCTCCGGTGAGGGTCCCGGGCTCTTGTCGGCCCCCGCGCGGCAGCCTGCAGCCCTCCTCGTTCAGCTCTGCGCCCGCAGCCCCGCACCTTTCCCGGGCTGTGCGGTGAGGAGCTCACCGGGAAGACGCCGGCGCGGCGTGCGCGGGCATCGCGTGGGAGGAGCTGTAGTCCGGGGTCCCGTTTCTTCTTTACCCTTTTCGGAATGAGATCGAGGCCCCGTCAAAACATAGAGTTCATGTGAGCAAACAGGACTCATTAATGGGACAGCGCCGGCCATGGCTCGTGGTTTGGGGGCTGCCAGCCGGTCTTGAAGGAAAGGCTTTTGTGAGGTGTGTGAGGAAGGGAAGCCATTCACCCGCCCGCCCCAACTTTCCCACCAGTCCCCTTGCCCTGAGCGCCTCCTCCGCGTGGCTGTTCCTGAGCGGCATCTTTTAGAATACGCTGGTGTCGTGTGCACAGCGCTTCGCTGAGTTCTGTGAGTGGTTCTGCCACATTATGGAACTTGAGGAGGGTGTGGGCGCCCCTGGTTTGTTGCAGGCGTTCAGAAATGAAGACGGGTGTCCAGAGGCAGGGACTGGAGTCTGCAGGGGGGCAGTTGAGGGAAGAGCGCGGAGCTTGTGGGTCTGCGCTGACTCTGGGTGGGGTCGTTAGTGAGTGGCTGGACAGCCCGTTGAGGTTGGAGTGTTGAAGGGTGTTGAGGAAACTCCGCAGGTTTTCTGTCAGAAGAAAGACATGGGGAGCCTGGGCTGGAGGGAGGTGTCTGGGGTCTGCGGGAGGCGCTAGTGGGTTCTGCACATGCGCGATCCTGCTGGGCACTGTCGGATTCCTCCAGGTCTCCTCCCGGGGAGAAAGGGAACTGGGAACTTAGAGGAAAGAAATTCTGAGAAACACCCCTTCCCTTCACCCTGCTGCTAGCCCCCACTTAATGCTAACCCACTACCCAGGACGCTCACTGGGCATTCACATTGCCCCACTCCTCCCAGAACAGGGTTCTACCCTCAGGAATTGTGCCCATGACAGCTTCGCTCCTAGGGTATTCTGGCAAGAACACACAGTGCCCGGAAGACTCCTGGCTCATTTGAACCCCAGACACTGGATCTGTAGCAGGAACCTGTTTCCTTACCTCACCCAGGCTTCTGGACCACCTGATCCTAATCTCTGCCTTTACAGACCCGGCAATCAGTCAGATGGTAGCCCTGCCTGGGCCTGCACTTGTAGCACAAACCAGTCCTTTAGTCAGTCCTGCCCTGCCCGCACCCATCACTCTTGATAGCTCCTTTCTCTCTTCTGCTTTTTTTCTTCCTCACAAATCCTCTTTTCTGTGCCCACAGTGTGCCCAAGTCCATCTGTCACTTGCCTACGAGAATTCAGACGTTAGTGAGTTCAAGACCATGCCTTTAAACCTGGCTGTTGTAGGAGCAAACCCAAGTTAGACGCGGCTTAATGGTCTTTCTTTAGAAAGAGGGAAGAATTTTTGCTCTTCTCCCTTTTCTTAAAGCATTTAGTTTGAAAACTTTTTTTGTTTTGTTTTTTTTTGAGCCGCAGTCTTACTCTGTTGCCCAGGCTAGAGTGCAGTGCTGTGATCTCGGCTCACTGCAACCTCCACCTCCCGAGTTGAAGCAATTCTCCTGCCTCAGCCTCCTGAGTAGCTGGATTACAGGTCTGCACCATCACGCCCGGCTAATTTTTGTATTTTTAGTAGAGAGGGAGTTTCACCATGTTGGGCAGGCTGGTATCGAACTCCTTACCTCAAGTGATTTGTCCGCCTCGGCCTCCCGAAGTGCTGGGATTACAGGCGTGAGCCACTGTGCCTGTCTTGAAAACTTTTATATTTACGTATTTTCTCTGCTTCTTTAAAATTTATATAAATCATTTTTATCAGTTAAGTCATTCGTCTTTTTTGAGTCAAACTTGTCTTTATCTAGGACCTGGAAACTATTGCTTTGAAATGTAAATAGCAACAACATACACCCTATCCCCCAGTTTCTGTAGGCGAGTAGGAGGCTGCCTTCAGCAGGTACCTAGCCTCACATTGCAAATCTACCTCCTGTCATGAAGATGTTGGAAGTTTATTTTTTCTATGAATATTACCAATTAGAAAACCCAGATGAGTTCTCAGATTACTACGTAAAATTACAATAAGCTGTATATGACAAATGGTGCTGTCATGTCTTCTACTTGAGAATTATGGTGAGTTTCTATGTTTGTAGTCTCTTAGTAGATTGCCTATGATGCACATCACATTTTGGTTTAATTATGTAAGAAAACATTTTCTTCTCTGTTGTGGACAGTTTTTTAGGATTGGAGATGATTTTGCTTTTAGTTATATTTTCCACACACTGTCCAGAATCACCAGACATTATACACAAGTGCCCTCTAGGTTTCACCTTAGAGAAAAACCTTTCTCAGGATTCCACTCACAACACACAATTTGGTGGCAAGGTGCACAAAGTGCAGCAAAGTGCTCCCCAAATCTGGAAACAGTATGGTCTCTCCTTCAATTTGAGATCTACAGTCCCTTCTATAACAGTTATACTGGATTTCTACAAAAATAACTTTTGAGTACTGCAATCAGTTATTCCTCCTTCGTCGGTGTGCCTGGCATCTTCAAATCTGACACTGATTCCGTGATCATGGGGCCCGTAATCCCAATCAGGATCCTACATGTGCATTGATTAAACCTGAGAACTTCAACTCCCTTCTCCCTTTGCCCAAATGCCCACAAATGTGCATAGCTCACCAGTCCTCCAAGTCTTAAATGTGCAGTTCCAAATTCTGAATTTATGTCTTGGGATTTGAGAGAAGGACAACTTTTATCTGAGAAATACAAGTTATTTTAATGATCAGACCCAGTAATGTGTTAAAATGAGACCGTAGTCATGTACTGTTCCCCTCTTTGAACTGTCTTTTGAAATTGTGTTCTGTTGCCACAAATGGCTATACACTTTTTTTTTCTTTCTTTTTTTTTTTTTTTTTTTGAGACGGGGTCTCCGTCGCCCAGGCTGGAGTGCAGTGGTGCGATCTCCGCTTATTGCAACCTGTGCCCCTGGGTCCAAGTGATTCTCCTACCTCAGCCTCTTGAGTTGCTGAGACTACAGGCACCCACCACCACACCTGGCTAATTTTTTGTATTATTTAGTAGAGATGGGGTTTCACCGTGTTAGCCAGGACAGTCTTGATCTCCTGACCTCTCGATCCCTCCACCTTGGCCTCCCAAAGTGCTGGGATTACAGGTGTGAGTCACCATGCCTGGCCACAAATGGCTATAAATTAACCTAATAATTTCATACTGGACACCATAACCCACACCTTATGTGTTAATTTATATAGCCAGTCACTAACCACTTCTATAAGCCATTAAGAATTTCTGACAACTTTCTATCAGTTCCCTCTCTGCCTCCCTTTTTGCCTTTAAAACTATACTCATCAGTTGGGTACGGTGGCTCACGCCTGTAATCCTAGCACTTAGGGAGGTGGAGGCGGGTGGATCACCTGAGGTCTGGAATTCGAGACCAGACTGGCCAATATGGTGAAACCCCTTCTCTACTTAAAAAAAATAAAAATAAAAATAAATTAGCTGGCGTGGTGGCACATGCCTGTAATCCCAGCTACTTGGGAGGTTGAGGCTGGGGAATCGTTTGAATCCAGGTGCCAGAGGTTGCGGTCAGCTGATACCATGCCATTGCACTCCAGCCTGGGCAACAAGAGCAAAACTCCGTCTCTTTAAAAAAAAAAAAAAATATATATATATATATGTATGTATATATATACACGTGTATATATATATGTATGTATATATATACACGTGTATATATATGTATGTATATATATACATGTGTGTATATATATGTATACTCGTAACTGCTTCTAATTGGAGTGTATATTCAGGGCAGCTTTATATTCCCGTGTTGCATCTTCAAGCTTTGGCCCAAATAAACTCTCTACTTATGTTTACCCCAGGTTTTTCCTTTTAGGTCAAAATATTCTTTAGAATGTGTTGAAGGAGCCTCCATGAGAGAATCTTTCCTCTGTTTTTACTCTGCTTGCTATAATCCCTAAGAATGCTGAGACACATTGATCCCATCTAGAATATGCACATAAAAGCTGACCTCTGCCTAGGATTCACAAGACAGGACCAGACTTTGGGCTGAAGATATAAAGAAAACTCATAGAAGACATTTTCTGCATCATGAGAGGTCATCCTCGGTGGAGCCCTTTGAGTTTTCCAGATCTTGTCCAGTGACCTGCTATAGTTGTGTGGGAGGCTTCTGGTATGAACAGAATCCTGTGGCAGAATCTGTTACCTGTAAAAAAGCACCTTAGCAGTGGGAGTTCAGGGCCACAAAATATTCAGAGCCAAAGTCACAACTATGCCTCCCTGTAAACTGTGTTACTGGATAGAGTAGTTTTGTCCTTCCCTTTGCCTCAGAGTTAGCTGATCACGGACAGGGGCTATCACATCTGTATCCAGGATCTGCAGCTTTGCTAGGGCTGTTTCATTTTCTGTTTGCATCCCACTAATTGAGCCTGAATCTCTCCTGCCTGGATCACTATGGGGATATCAGCCCAAGGTCACTGGGGACACACTCACCAGCATCTGTATTTGAGACATCTGAAGATGTCCTGTGCAGACTGGGGTCAGTATGGCAGCAAGGTCTAATTCTGCTCCCATTTTAGAGGAAGAGAAATGACTCATTCAGGGTTTGTTCCTCCCTTCACAGAATCTCCTTGGTTTATACCCAGATAAGAGTTGCTCCAGTTTTCTAGGTTTTTTTTTGGTGAAAAGTGAGATCTGGAGACTCAAACTGATCCATAAGCTAATTGCTTCTATTTCATATGGTCCATTAGAAAAAGAGATGAAATAGTCATGGTCCCTACCCTCAAGGAACTTGCAGTCTGGAGCACATGAATAAATGGTTGAATTCAGCATCATGTGTTCAGTACAAAGACGGAAACTGTACAGGACACTTAAGCTTCATTTGGGTTACTTCCCTTTTATTGTTTTGTGAGTTTTTATGCCACCACCTGAAAAGAGTATTCATTGACAGAAGTTGTTATTGTTAGTATTGTTTTCACCTTGCTAAGAATAAATATTTAGCTTCTAATATAATTGCTCTAGAGAAACATAAGGGATTTGGTTAAATTCCTTGTAGTATGTTATTAAAGACACAGAGAAGTGACTAAAATAGATTAAAATTTCATAAAATCTGGGAATCAAATTTCTCTTGGGCAGGCTTAGAAAAGACAAAACTGAAAAATCTTAGTGGCATAAGAACAGAAATCTAGGTCCCACTCTGTGTCCTAACCCTGCCCAGATCCACCCTCTGCTAAACCTTGTCCAGGTCTGACCCCACACTGAAATCTCTCGGAATTGCTTAGAGGAGATCAGAGTTTGGAGTGACTACTCCTACTGCTTCTCCAGAGCTGGTGCTCCCAATTTCCTGAAACACAAAAGCAGATAAATGGGGAAAAGCTGTATACTTTTGGGCCTTAAAATCTTTTTTATACAATTAAAGCCAGTGTTTCTGGAGACATCTCATCCAGCAACCTGTCATCTCTGCAGTTTTAGTGTTTTTTTTGTTTTGTTTTGTTTTTCCACAAATCTTAAATACAAACACAAAAATAAATTTCTCTGAATTGCATTTAATACACCCTTTGTTTCTTTGTGATGTATTTATATTGAGTGGTTATTCTATACCTTTAAAAAACAAATCAGTGGTAGGAAAATGGAAAGGAAATGGTAATTTTGGGCCCTGCATTTAAATCCTGAGAAGTATTGGACACCTAGTGCCCACCTCCCAGGATGTCCTGAGAATTAACACATAATGTGATTGTCTCAGCACAGTGCTCTGTGACATACTCCTGAGTACATAGTACGTGCTCCATCAATATCGCATTAATGCAGGCGCACATGTTTTTTTTTT